CGTTTTGACTTCAGCGAGCGGAAGGCGGTGCCGGTGTCCAGATCCCATCAACTGCCACACGTGCTAGTGCGTCTCTCTCTCTCTCTCTCTCGTGTGTGTGTGACATGCGAAAATACTACACTTGACTGCTTAATTGAAAATTGTTCCGTGTGTGTGTGTGTGTGTGTGTGTGTGTGTGTGTGTGTGTGTGTGTGTGTGTGTGTGTGTGTGTGTGTGTGTGTGTGTGTGTGTGTGTGTGTGTGTGTGTGTGTGTGTGTGTGTGCTAGGCCTGACTTGGACCCACCGTGTAGTTGTGTCCTTCCTCCAGTCCGTGCTGCCACCTGCTCACAGTATCTATCACCCGCAATCTCACGACCTGTGTCGCTGCCCTTTATCTTGCACACAATTAGTTTTGGTGAAAGCGGATCAGAGTGCCGGCTGTGTCGTAACAGCTTGTACCTGTACCAGGGTGAGTGCAGCAGCTTGCTTTGTGCGACTTTGCATACTGTATGCTTGATTGCTTGCATGCAAGTATCTGACGTGTGCTCGAGTGTTCGCGCAGTCAGACCATTGCCTATCTGAGCTGCTGATACATCAGTATCTTGCCCACGACGCACTGGAAACAGACTGCTGCGCGTGTGCCATCAGCTGTGCCGCTCTGAGAGCAAGTTCTTGTGCTCACACTTGATTGTATGTCCTCGGTTTTGTTTGGTATTTTGCAGGCGAGTGTGTTTCGTCGTGCCCATCTACGACTGCGCATGCAAACACGCGTGGCGATTATAACCGCAAGTGCACGCCAGCATTTACGTGCACGGACGATGTATCGTCCCTGGACGCCTCGCAATGCGTGTGTCCGGATTACAACTGTGTCTCCTGCACATACGACATTGGCAACGCGCCCGGTGCGTTCAGGCGTCCACGATCACCCTTGCTTGTGCCTTCCTTGCCTGCATGCACACACACACACACACACACACACACACAAGTGCTGCTATATGAAGCGGATGCACACGTCGAACAGTAACCACGTACCATTGCACAGTACTACACGATTGCACACCTTCACACACATTCACAGTCACACGCATCTGCGCACTCTGCATTTGCTTTCTCTCTATTCACCACCACTGCTGCCATGCGCCATTGTGTAGGCGAGTCGACCTGTTTGCAGTGCCGATCAGGCTATGCGCTCAACCAGACAACTGGCGCGTGCGAGCAGACATGACGGGGAGCCATGAAGAGGGAAATGCCTCGTCTGATGTATGAAGATATTGGTTGATGTGACCACTGAGGAAGCTGGTGACACTGTGACATCTTATCCGCGTTGCGTGCAAGCATCTGCCTCATCCGTTCTCTCCAAATCCTCTCTCTTCGAACTTTTTGTCACGTTAATCCATCTTTGCTTGCTCATGTTCCCTTGGGCGTTGCTCGCTTTTATGTTGCAGTTGCTGTTTTTCCTAATTGCTGTGAATAGGAATGGATGACACTGTATGTCCCATATCATCTCAGCAAAAACACACACACA